ATAAATTCTATTATGGAAAAACAGATTGTTCAGAAAAACCTTTGAGCATATGATTCCTTCCATTGTCAAAGGATTTTTCGAACAGTTTAAAAGGCTCCCACCTGCTTTTGTTATGCTTGTGGCATAGACCCAGTGCTGTAGAACATAACTTGCCTTAGATGCAACTCTCAAATAATGAAATGTAATTGTAAAAAGTCATTGCATGATGTCATAGAGTTTGCAAACAATATTACCACTTAATATGAACAAGTTTCTTTATCAATTTTTTAAACTAAAAATCTTTGTCAGGTTGGGGTGCTCTGTGCTCTGCAATGACCATCCATAATTTCATGAAGAATGCTCGATTTCCATGCACCCACCTCCCTAACAGCATTGAATGCACCATTTCTTGATTTTATGGTCATATGAGAAGATACAATGCATTTGGCCAAATGTTTTTCGAGCAACAAAAAATTCATATTTTCCTACATTGTAAAATTGCAACTTGCCATACGTATATTCTATGAGAATCTAAACATAAAAAGCGCGGGAAATCATCATGGAATTGTTGCCAAATGCTATTTCGAAAATGGAGTTTCCAATGAAGTATGCGTGAGTGAAGCAAAAACAACAGCAGTTTAGACGAAGGTATTGTAATATGCAATTCCAAAGAAGAAATGCTGGAAGTATTCGGTGATTATAAAAAACGAACTCGCAGTGGGTGGCGCTGTCTAAACAGAAATAAGTTGATAGGTATATATTATATAATAACTTCAATGCAGAAAGCATACGCTTGTCCAGAGATATACTACTTTTTGGTTATTGTGCAGTGGTGAAGAAAGAAATTTCACAAAATTATATATATATATTAAAGCAGAACTTTTGTTTAAATTTTAAATATTAAAGCATGATAACATGTATGAACCAAATACTTAATGATGACACGTATGAACCAAATACTTAATGATGACATGTATGAACCAAGTACTTAATGATGACATGTGTGAACCAACTATTTAATGATGACATGTATGAACCAAATACTTAATGATGACATGTATGAACCAAATACTTAATGATGACATGTATGAACCAAATACTTAATGATGACATGTATGAACCAAATACTTAATGATGACATGTATGAACCAAATACTTAATGATAACATGTATGAACCAAATACTTAATGATGACATGTATGAACCAAATACTTAATGATGACATGTATGAACCAAGTACTTAATGATGACATGTGTGAACCAACTATTTAATGATGACATGTATGAACCAAGTACTTAAAGATGACATGTATGAACCAACTATTTAATGATGACATGTATGAACCGAATACTTAATGATGACATGTATGAACCAAAGACTTAATGATCTGACTTATCATCATTAAATTCATCATTAAAAAGGCAACTCCAGAATGTTTACAAAAACCTTCAAAAACAGGATGGTTCTTTAAACGTCAAAGTGATTCTCCAACAACATCAAAAAGGATCATCAGATTGTGGTCTTTTTGCTGTGGCAAATGCTGTTGCTTTGGCTAATGGTGTGAACCCTTGCTCTGTTACCTGGCTCCAGGAGAAGATGCGATTGCATCTGGTCAAATGCTTTGAAGAACAAAAAATCGAGATGTTTCCCCACATTGAGAATGCAATGCAAACCTGCCATTCAAAAAATTATATTCTGTGAGAAAATAGTAATTGTAAGCATCTAACATAAAAATAATCATGTATCGCTTCACTTTTGCTTGCAAACATGTACACTGTAATTGCTCAAATTGGAACCCCTTGACAAATCATGTATGTATATATCTGTAAATAATATTAAACAAAATTAACATTTTCTATTTGTGAATCATGGACATGGTATTTATTTTTACAACTAACTGGGAACATATAATTAATACTGTCTAGAAAATGTAGAAATAATAAATTTACCTTATAAATTTTACACAGTTGTGTAGTGAGCCCGGAAGATAATTTGGTCGTGTTATGTAAATTTGATATTATTATCAATAAACATTTCTTTAGAAATCTGTTGTTTTTACAGTTAGTGAACAAAGAAATAATTGTATAGCAGAGCTAAATAAAACGGGCTGGATACGCCACTGTTACGTTCATTGTATATTGTTCATTGCTTCTTCGAGTATCGTTATGATGATTTAAAATCGTTGAGCATATGACAATATATGTAAAATACAAAGAATACAAAACAATAGATGTGTTAAAAAGTAAAACTGTCCAAACCTGAAATCGAAAAAAGAATTCTTCGTGTCATTTAGCCGCATATCGGTTAAATACTCATATGAAACTTGTTATTCTCAATGGTTATTCTATATTTTAGTGGTTTGTCACAGCTTATAGGTAATTCCAATGGTAATAACAATTACATGAATATTCGTCAATTGTTACTTACCGCTGACATAATAAGAATAATATGTGGGCGCGTACGTTAGTTGACCATGATCTAGTGCCGACCATTGAGTTCTATAATAACTGGAGCGGCTATCTCAAGCGCGGCCTTAGATATCTGATGTTGTAAAAAACATGGCGGATTTCGTCCGTTGCCGCTGAGATTTACCGAAATTGACCGCTTTTCCGAAAATTTCACAATTTCCACTCCTCCTGAGGAAAGAGTGAGGAAAATGTATGTGTGTATTTGGGATTCGGCAAGCAATTTTTTGATGAAAATCAAGGTAAAAACCTTAAATTCATAACAGCGAGTCAACTGTGGTTGTCAGTTATCTGCTGCTACGAGGATGCATTTATAACTATCGACGAAAGACCTATATATCGGCTACACATGTATGAATGCAGATGTGCGTCGTTTTCTTACCAGCGTCAAACTTGTTTGATCGATTAAACTCTTTAGTCTATACAAAAAAGTATATCATAGTTCATCTCCACGGTTCACGAGAGAGAAGTCAGCTTATTTGTTATCATTGCTATTTTGCTTCTTTTCATGCAATGGGCAATGGCTTTTTTCGCCACAATTGTAGGATTTTTACTTGTTTCTTTAAAAAAGTACATATTAAATCTCTGGATATTTACGGATTTTCTGTAATTGAGTTTCATATGAAATTTCAAAAAGACTCAAGTCTGCATAGGTTTGGTAAATAAAACAAACAATATTGTGTAGAAATTACTTTAAGTAACCTTTTTGTGATGTTCTGAAGTGCAACTGCATCAAATACTTGTGAAGTTGTAGCACATTTTGATTTTGTTGTATTGATATATGAATTGGGCAAAATGCAAATAATCATCAAAACACTTATGCTTCCAATGGTGTTTATAATTCATTTGTAGTTTTAATACTTCTACCTTTCTTTTCACTTTGTTTTGTTTTTCCTATATTTGCAATATAAGTGCACTATAATTTGAATGATTAACACAGTTTTCACCTCAATAATAAATTTCATAAGCAGTTGGTAGTGCATTTTGTTCTCTGAGTATCCACATCTGGTGTTTTGTTCATACAAGAATGATGAAGTGCAAGTAGATATGTCATAGCAAGGCAATATAACCAAATGAATTACATTCCTATAGTGTACTTTTATGCTAGAAGCTTAAAAGCTTTTAGAAATTAGAAAGTTATTGGATTATATTACCTCTATATCATCAATCTCATGATAAGAAATAAGAAGCAAAAATTTGTAGAAAAGCTTTGAAAAGTGAAAACTTTTCTTTAAAAAGCAGCAATAATGCATATGATAAATCTCCATTCTGTACTCTAATAGGTAAATAAGCTCAATTTTTCTTGAAGAAATATAAGAAATATATAAGAAATATACAGTACAGTAACTTTAAAGGTTTCATCACTGAATCTTTAATGCTTCAGTATAGTGCATTAGATATTAGTAACATTCAAACAACACTCAACTAAAATATTTTGATAAAGATATGACATGATTTAAACATTAAGTTACATAAAACCAATGGCTTATACAGTTTGAAGCTTCACATCTGCATCGAGTCATCATCAATCTCAGTACAAATGTTTACATAGACACAAACTTTATGGCCTTCCATTTTACATGTTTGTGAATTGACATTTCATTAAGCATCAAAACACACACAACCTTCTTGCCATCTTTCTTTGGATCATGAACTTTAACTTCAAAGCATTCAAGGCATCCTTAGTGAATCCATTGTCTCCATCCATAGAATTTGACCACAATCAATAACATCTTCCAGTCATCTTTACTCCTTGATCTTCCCTGCATGTTGTCAGCAAATAGAACATAACAAGCTCTGCTCCAAATCATGGGTACCGTTGGGGCTGATCATTTCTTTTTGATACCAGATCACATTTTTGATACAGAGCAAAATGTGTGCAGTGTCTTTTTTGCTTTAGGGAAACTATTTTGCAAATAGATGGGTAAATTTACGATTTCATGCATTAACAAATGACAGAAAAGTATACAGAATTTTATAAGAATTGTACAAGTATACAGAGTTTTATAAACAGGAAAACATCAGTATATTTGGCGTTCAAGTCAGTCTTAAAAAATACGATCTTTAATATGTATTTTATGGCTTTTCAAGTGCATGTATAATTGCTTTTCAATCGTTGACGGACTAACAAAACAAACAACTGTCTCACCTGTGAGAAGCGATATGTTCCTTTTTGTGGAAACTACGACATCCAACAATTGAACGATTGAAGTGTTGGCATTATAAAAGAAATGCCAAAAAAAATATCGTCACAGAATATGGAACTAACGATATCCATATACTGTGATATCGTGTTTGTTTTTGAAAAATTCTTTATAATTTACTATAGACACCAGGGGGAGGTCGAGAATATTATTTTTCTGCAAAGCGATCATTTCAGCGGAAATACGTCCGTTGGCCGCCATGTTTTTTACAACAGTTCCCAGTCCACTTAGCCGCTCCAGTTATTATAGAACTCAATGGTGCCGACCCCAAAATCCGCCATTACCGCCATGTTTTTGACCACGGGGTCCAGGCCCCTTTGCCCCTCCAGGTCTTTTAGAGCTCAATGATTTTTACTCGGTTCTTTATTACATGGCAATGTTCAGTCGTCCATAGATCCAACACCGAAGGAATATGCAATGTACGTGTCGTTTCTTGGTGAGATTTGGGTGAGAGCATTAAGACTTTTGGTTCTTCCTTTGATTGTATCAAGCTTGCTTTTGGCAGTCGCTGAATTGGAGTCAAAACAGAGCGGAAAATTGTGAAGAAGAACATTGCTGTATTATCTTATGACTACAATGTTTGGGGAGTAATTTGTTTATTTGCATTTAACCTGGAAATGCTAACGTGAAAGAACCAGAACCGAACGAAGAAAAAGTTGAAGCAATACATTCTGTGCTTGATCTTACAAGGTTTGTGCAAAATATTGATAAATTTACTGAGTTTGCGCCCTGCTTTTTCGTTCACTGCAAAAATTTTCTTATACGTATAACTTTTATTTCTATTATTTAACGACAATGCTTTTTACTTTTTCAATATGAACATAATAGCCCAACATAAGACATTTAAAAAAGCCATCGCAATAATAAAATAAAGAAAGATTAAAGGTTTTTTAATAATTACGTTTCTTCTTTAACTTAAGACATCTTCAGATTATTTGAGATAATTTATATACATGAGGTTAAATACAAGCATATAGTACAGGGTGTTAAATTACATGTGAGGGGAGTAGGAAGTTTAGATGAAGGAATGAAGTGAGAAGGGCGGTACATTAAAGAAGGTGAAGGGGGATTGAGTTGCCTTGGGTCATAAGGTCATAATTGTCAGCTTTTTACTTTACTAAAGGAAGCCTTTTTTTATTAGAACGTAAATGCTTCTTTCGCAAAACTGTGCAAGTGTGGAGATTTCCAAGTGCGTAGATAACCCATTCACCTTCACTATTGTGAAACGATAATAAATACATTTATGATACTAATTGTAAATACATTTTATTATGTCTTACGAACCATACCAAAGAGAGCAAAGGTAATGCTACAAGATTATAATAAGAACATCAAGATTTTAAATGGATAAGTTAATCTGAAACACAGCCTTTATCAGTGTGCGAATTAGTTCAGAAAAAACGATGTGCAATTTTTTTGACAAAAGTGTTTCTTTAGAGGCATAATCAAATCGATATTACGTTAATTATTATATAGCGCTAATTGCTAAATTAATATTTTTAAACGTGAACAAATTCATATGATTTACGACAGTGTTTTTTGTTAAAACCACTGATTTTTGCATATCGTTTGAAAAAGTGATGTGCAATTGTTCTCATTTTAGCTAAAACGATGTGCAAATTGCACATTGCACATCGTTAATTCGCACACTGGCCTTTACAACAATCACCTTGAAATATGAAAATTGCAATAAACCTTCCACTCTCTACTCATCACACACTCAATTTCTCATCTCTTTGAGACAGTGAGTGGAAGGTTTATTGAAATTTTGAACTTCAAAGTCGAAAAGATCTTTACTCCTTTTGAATTTTAAAACTGCTTTATATTTATGACAAAAGTTTGCTGAGATTTTGTTTACAATTGTAACATGTGACAGCCTGGGTTATGTGTTTATTAGCATAATTATCAGTCAGCCAAGCTTTTTTGAAACCATTATGAATCAACATTAACATCATCTGACGTTGTACATGAACTGTTCTTAACCAATACAGCTATACCTCATATTCATCATGTCATTTTAACTTTTAAATATGTTTATGTCAAGATTTAAATTGTAGAATGATTATTATATATACTACTGAACATTGTGTACAACAAGACAACTGTCAATAAATGAGTTGTCAAGAAAAAGGAACCTTAAGAACCAAGAAAAGCATGAAGCTTTGTTTTACACCACTGTATATGACAGATCATTCTCATTGAAATGCATCAAATTGCAATATTGCTACATAAACACAATGAGGATGAACATTTTGATGTTCACGAAAACAAGATTTAATTATTTATAGATGTTCCAAATGTGCACAGCAATGTAATTATATCTTACAATAGCTGTGCCAGGCCTAAATACCATACAATGATAAATAATCTTTTGAAAATTTAACTGTTTGATTGCAAACTGTTTTCTTCTTTAAGATAAATCCCATTTCACCACCTACCTATGTTGTCATGACAACAACAATGAATTGAGAAGAAGGTTTAAAAGCTTTGGAAACATCTATCTAAGCCATTGAAGAAGTCATTATGAATAAGAAAGGAACATTTGTTTTACAACAAGCTGTAAGTGTTTGGTTTATATTTATATAAAAAGTATATTGTATCACTAAAATGACATCCCCCTGGTGCCTCTACTGTCCTCATATCATCCTGTTACCATTTCCTAAGTACCCCATGCTGTATTAAGACGGACATATTCAATCATTAGTCATTTATTTGAAAATTACAATGACACCATCCCAATGCATTGAAATCAATAATATTAGGACCCTGTGACATTGGCAATAATTTATGTTAACTGTCCACAAAAATTAGTTTTTCCTAAAGCTAATTATGCATTGTGATATCATAATGATGTCTTTTGCATATTGAAGAAAAGTTATGTGTCTCCAAAACAAAATAAAATTACAAAGCACATGTTCATACCATTTACACAATGACTGTCTCATGTTTGCTTTCTCTGACTGTGTAACTATTATCAGAAGGACATCACTTGAGTCCATTGGACATTTTGCCCACCTGTATGATGTATCAAAGATTTGAAATCATACAACTGAAGTATGTTTAATGAGCTGCTGTTTTTTGCAGCTTCAGAGAAAAGAATAAAATAAGCAGAGTTTGTCATGTTCTTATTCGAGTAGTACTTTATGTTTAACTTAGGAGCTAAACATGTTTCATACAAAATGTTTTATGGTTTTTGATTGGTTATATGAAATGCTCTTGAATATGTATTAGATATAATTGAACAACTGTTTTTCTATTGTGTCTGTTGACATAAAATTATCAGTTTTAACAGAAATAGGCCTTCATAGAGATCAGAAATGTAAAAATCTTAAAATGATTTAAACTTATTCAGGAAAGAGGTCATTACTATATTTTATTATCCTAACTAACATTTTTATTTGACTTGATGGGGTACTCTAGGAAGCACGGCAAATCTTTGCCTCGTGATCAATGGTAATTATCGGAATTAGCGGGAAAAACTACGTCAGAGGTCTGGTACCGACACAGAGACGCGATTCTTGTCATTTCTTTATGGATAGTACGCCGTCGATTGAAGCTCCTCAGTTCGTAGATATATAAAAATTGCCAAATACCAGCTGTTATCCTTCTGTAAAAGTAAGTAAACAGTTTGAATTAACGTTAGAATGGAGTTTTGTAAATTTTGATGAATTCAGACAACAATATTCGTCGTCGTTTCCATAATGAAAGCGAAACCAATGAAAAATGTATTTGTAATTGCAACTATGTTCAACGCATTTGGGTATAATTGTGACAGTTTTTATCATACAAAGAAAATTGTACTGGGCTATCGTCAATAGCTTCAAATATCAATTTTTTTGAACGGTTTTATGCGCCGTATCCAAGTATCAAAACGTTGACGACCTAACATCTATGTACTTATTATGAACGTGAAAATATTTAAACCAGTTATAACCAAGAGGCGTCAATTTCCTGAACACTTAACACTTTAAACATCAAAACTTGTTTTACAATATTTAAGTTACGCTTAAGTGACTATCGTGTGATAAATTTTGAAGTATGTATTGGCTACTTTGCCTTGATTGTAACAAATCTATTGCGCACAAAGGCATATTGAGTTCCTTTGAGTGCAAATAATTTAGTGTAAAATTATCGTTTTAAAACTTTCAAAGTCATTATTATGGATGAAAAATTACTTTGTAGCTTGTTTTTTAATACAGTCTGAATTTTTTGAAAATAATTAGTTCATTCTTTGGTATTTGATTCTAAATGATGTAGCCACATAGCACAAGTGTTCATCACTTCCTCATAACTGTGGTGCATTGGAGCATGTTACATTTGATTTAACTTTTCCGTTTGATATTTCGAAGTTTTTGAAATAGTTGAAATGTTTATCGTAAGTTCACGATCAAATTTACTCATTCGTTGGATGAAAAACTATCTCAACAAAAATTTCAAATACATGAGGCAAAGTTACGCAAAATAACGTTTCCCACAACGGAGGTTTCATGTTTGTACTAAAATATGCACAACACTAAAGATATATACTTTTCCGCAAGATTTAATGTCGTGAAACCTTCGTATAGCGATTCCTTCATAAGCTTTGAAGGAATTTTAATGCAAATAAATAAACGTTTACAAATGTAGCCATTGTGAATGTATCGACGTTCTCGCTTTAGTTATTTGAAATGTTTCTAATTGTTATTTTTTCTATGTTATTTTGTAAGAGTTTCTATCATGTTCTGTAGAATGCCTCCTTGTTTATCAAAATCAATAATGAGAGACGTCTACTGCACTATGCTCGAAAAAAGACCTGAGCGAAGTCCTTTCGTTAGAACTGATATGTACGATATTGTGAGCTTGCTTCACATGTCGAATGAGTTGGTTGAAAAGAGATCATGAAGGAATATGCAATGTACGTGTCCTTTCTTGGTGAGATTTGGGTGAGGGCTTTAAGACTTTTGGTTCTTCCTTTGATTGTATCCTGCCTGCTTTTGGCAGTCGCTGAATTGGAGTCAAAACGGAGCGGAAAATTGGGAAGAAGAACATTGCTGTATTATCTTATGACTACAATGTTTGGGGAGTAATTTGTTTATTTGCATTTAACCTGGAAATGTTAACGTGAAAGAACCAGAACCGAACGAAGAAAAAGTTGAACCAATACATTCTGTGCTTGATCTTACAAGGTTTGTGCAAAATATTCATAAATTTACTGAGTTTGCGCCCTGCTTTTGCTTTTACTGCAAAAATTTTCTTATACGTAAAAGTTATATTTCTATCAGTTAACGACAAGGCTTTTTATTTTTTTTGAAGGCAACTTTATTTACTATAACGTAAATGCTACGTTCGCAAAACTGTGCAAGTGTACGAGATTTTCGAGCGCGTTCTGTAATCGCCTTATCGCAATATTCACTTGATTCTTAATCTTCTATTTGTGACAAACTTCCTTAAGTACAAGAGGTGGCTATGACTTTTTATACATTATTATATTCATATTTGACACTTTTTTTATTATGCCATACGAAGCACAACTACCAAAGTGATCAACGCAACAAAATCGTAATGCTATGTTATAGAATACCCGTCCTCTCACTATCTACTTATATAATATGCCTCGTTCTTTATACTTTGTTCTTTATTTTGACCATTAAATGACACTAAATGATACTTGATAAATAATAATTGAGAACTAAACAATATTTTAGTTTAACTTAAGCCGTAAGGGTGACTTTAAAAAGGGACGGGTCTTCAATAATCGTTCCGAGATATTAAATGGATAAGTTAATCTGAAACACAGCCTTTACAACAATGATCTTGAAATATAAAAATTGCAATAAACCTTCCAATCTCTACTTATCACACACTCAATTTCTCATCTCTTTGAGACAGTGAGTGGAAGGTTTATTGAAATTTTTAAATTTCAAAGTCATTGTTCTAAAGGCTATTTGTCAGATTAACTTATCCATTTCAAATCGTTATATTTTATAGCTTTTAACCTTTTAATAACGAGATCATTGTTAAGTGATTATTGCTGTCATTAGATTGTTGCATTCCTAAATAGTTGATCTCTAAACAAGTTAATTATGACGGGCAATTTTTATAACATTGACCGCAAGACGTAAAATTGGCCGTTTGATTGTAAATCATGATTTTAATCTTCCGTGCCATAATATTTCGCATTTTAGGCTCTTGTCCACTGCTCACTGCGAAATTTAACTGTGAAGTGTTAAGTAAAGAAAGGGTTGCTGAATGCTTTGTAGCTGATCTTAAAAGTACGAAAAATGTCTTATTAGATATTTTTGCCTATAGAAAATTTTACCATGTTAAATTTTAGCGACGAAGTTCACTTTCCATGTCTGTGAATATCAACCATATTTATAGCACACTAACTTGTAAGAACGTATTCTTTGGAGAAAATGATTATCTCGTTATTATATTCCCTGGGAAACACATTTTATTGAGCTGGTGGCTCATGGCTTGTGTATTCTAATTTCTAAAGCAAAGCTCAATATTCATAATTTCTTGAGAAACACGACACGAAACGGGCATTACAGGCGACAATAGAAAACTGCATAGTCAATTTAGTCAAGTAGGACTTTTGCTTACCCAGGGCCGGCTACACTGAAGAATTTTTTTGTGACAGAGTTTTCTGTAATTTTCCTCTAAAACAATTATATTGTTTCTTCCCTTAATACGCTCTGTCCACAGATCTTATGAAACACTGCCCTACATTCACATGATGGGTATGTTAAGGGACTTCCCCTTGCAGATGAAGCATATCAGATGAAATGACTGTTGCATTAATGACGGTATTTTTGCACGGCAGCATCCTTTGTGTTGATGGTACTTTCCATAATTCGCTGTCACGACAAGACGCGTTTTTCAAAGGACCTATTATACCCACGCACCTATTATAATGTACTGACAAAAAAATAGTCATAAAAAGTCAAAAAAGCAAAAAGTTGTCTAAATACACCATGCTGTTCCGTTGTTGTTCATCATTGTTGAATGTCTCTTCATCGTGGCTGTTGCATTGCACTTGTGTGTCATGTAGCTGTGGCAGAATGAATGATTTAAGTTGTTAAAGTTGGTCTACTGTATTTACATTCGATTTTATACAAAGTAAGGAAAGGAGCGAAAACGGTGAAAAAATCCAGTGTTTACTTGAATCAAATACGGACAAGAAAAAAGATATAGAAGAAATCGCGAGAGCTTGAAGAAAGTACATCAAGACGAAAATACTTCCCGTTCACAAAACGTTCCAGAGAGCGTTGAAGAGGATCAAGGGATGGAATCTGGAGCAGAAAGTCAGACTGAATATTTAATATTTTTACTCGTACTTTTATATTTGGAACTTCTTATTGAATTGTATGATTTAAATCTTTCTTCAATTCCTGATGAACTATAAATATCTATAATTTGTACAAGTTCGCCGTGAACATAATGATAATTGAAATATTTACTAATTAGAACAAATGTACTTTTCGATGTCGTATATCGTTGACTTGGAGCTTTGTCTTTCACAATATTTGGTTGCGTGGAATGGCGCAGATTATCAAGTCTTGTTTCTACAACGTAATCTTAAAGTCCAATTATGTCATTTACATAGTGGAGAGAATAAAATAATGGAAAACATAGTTTAAGCTATTTCGTGAAACAACAAGAAAACAAAAAAAAACAGCAAAATCGTTGTTATACCTGCAAAATGAACATTTTATTTTCGTAAAAAGGCATCTTTATTTAATATAAAATAACATAATTTTATGTCGTTCATGTAAAGTTCGACGTTTGAACTAGGCCTTAATCTAGTGATAAAAATCCGTCGTTTTGGGTCCAAAAAAAATTATTCTAGGAGAAAAAAGATTTGTTGTCGATGTGACATAACAATGTTTTTCTTGGTCAATATCCGTATTAGAAAAATTTATTGCATTTCCTTTATATCAGCGTGACGTAGCTTGGACTCAGCAAATGTGAAAGGGGAGTAAATCAGCACTAAAAAACTTTTCAATATACTCTTTGTCTTTCAAATTTGGCGAGGTTAACTTTTGGCCAGCTTCCATGAGTGTCCTAAACAATGTTTCCCTCCTATAAAAAGACTGGGACTGAAGAGGGGAGCATTGAGCCAAACAGCGTTGTCATTGTCATTGCGTTCGACTTCTTTTTTTAAGATTTTCATTGGTTTGATAATTCCTCGAGATTTTGATTCGTTGGGGGAATTCAACCCCGTATATTGTTAGCAAGAAGTGCACATAACATGCAAACGAACTGAAGAAGAGGACCACTGACACAGAGGCAAGGGATTCTTGTTGTCTCAGATCTATCTCAATTTTCAAAGCGTGCAAACGCGACTTTCAACTTGATTTGTACATTTTTACCTTCGTGGCTAACTTGGCGTCAGTAAAAGAGGTTGGTGTGAGAGTTACAATTTACATTCACTAGTTTCAGTGTCGTTTATAGCTTTCATGGTTTGCTCCACCGTCGTTAAATCATCTCACTAATAATTTAAGTTTATTATTATTATACATGGTGTATCATACAGAATGTTTGAAATTTCTTGTTTATTTGCCGTTGAGCTTAAGTTGGGTTATAATTTCAGGATAAATTTACAATGCTCTAAAAATTTATGAATAAATTTTTCAGATTTTTAAACTATCTAACACGTAATAACTGCTTAACTGCTTCGAATAATGATACAGTTGAACTAGAAACGACAGTAAACTCTGACTTAAAAATCTTGAAAAGTGGTTGACAGAAGTGGTTAATTAGAATTTTCGCATCACGCTACAAATTTTACGCATGGTTGCATTAATTTTTTTCCTTACCGTCACAGATTGAGGAATGAACAAAAGCGCCACTCGAGGTCGGAACCTTTGATGTTCGTGTCCCTGTTTTGAGTTCTAAAATCGGGGTATTTTAAACGGCGGCCATGTTTCCAGCCAGACGAGTGCAGCCAGATCACTGTGAGGTTGTGTTACACTCGACTTTTCCATGTAATCAACCCCTTTAGCAGCTTTTCAACCTTAACTCAGACACATTACGCCTCTAAATTGACATCCAACACAGTAATTGAACATATTTATAAATTATAGCACACAATGTGGCCTTGCTAAAAGAAAGTTATTTCAAAAACGAAAAATGCTCTTTGAAAGAGGTTTTTAGAGTAAAACAAAAATAAAGACATTTAAGAAACGTGAAATATGTCTACAATATCTGCTACTGTTTATCAAAGCAATTTCCCTTTCGGCGATAATATTGCTGTGTTAAATAATTACGTAATTATCACAAGGCAACTTTTGAAAGATTTTTTTGTAGCAACCACAGTCTATCACATCCAAGCGATTGTGCATGAATGTTAAGTTTCCAAATGAGTTGGGAATATAAAGGTCTTTCTAATGACAAAATTTGAACTGTCAAACGAAAACAGGAAATCGTTTTTTGGGAATAAACGATTCCCAAATCGTTTTAAGTGGGGGTATTAAAGGAGAAAGATGGGGGCATGACAGGGGTATGGCAGGGGTATGACAGGAGAACAATGGGGGCATAAAAAGGGTATAACTGTGGGAATGTTCCAACCCAAAACACAAACAAAATAGAATGTCATTTGAGAAATTTACTTAAATAGTTTTTATAACATTGAATAATCATTGCATAAGTTTACGAGTACACATAGCTGGAATAACAGCAGGAAACATAAATTTGACTTCACGGTGATAAAATAAAACTAGAACGGAACGAAACTAGAACTAGACCTACGTATATTCATTTGAGAAAAAATTGCGAATATTTTGTTTCCTAAAGCGAAAAAAAAACAAACAAATAAACAACCCGGGGTCTGCTCTAACTTTGGAGGCTTTCCTCGCAGTCAAAACAATTTTAGTCACAAAGCCGTAAATCAATGATTTTGCTTTTATTTATAATTTTATTGAAATAAATATCCTGCAGTATATTTTTGATATCAAAAAATTAGTTTAGAATTATCTGAAAACGATCCAGCAGGAAAAATGCCGAAATGGATGAAACTTGTTTCATACTATCATTTGACGAAGCTCTTCAAAAGGTCTGCTAAATCATAAATACTTTAGGATGTGGTGGCGTTTTTGCATTGTGTCGAACAAACGAGCTTTCCGCTCCTGTGCAGAATTTAACTACGTCGCGTGCTGAGAGTGACGAAGTTCAATCCGCCCCT